AGACTGTGAATATCAACCCATTAGGGAAGGGTTGTCATCTCCCACCACGATTTGCAGCTCTGTCCTACAACATGAAACCAAAAGGAAACAAGAAAGAAATGCATTCCTTGCATAACCAACTGCCTTTTTACCTTGGGTTGTTATTAAGAGCACCACGACCACAAACTAAAAAAAGTCTTTCCCAATGTATGAAAATCAATGCCACATTTTATGCATTTATTTGTACACACACACAACTAAGTCTGACTTTCTGAAAAGACTGCAAGATCCAGTCACAAATATATATAGATGTAAAATGCATAAATATGAAAGTCATCTGTAGGTAGACAGCAGAAAGTGTGTATGTTCATGTTTTAGTTGTGGGTACATAACACTGTAAATTCCTCATAACAAAATTAAACAAAACAAGGAGAGTCAGTGCCATGGTCTGTCTGAGGCAGAAAAAGACCTCACATTTAAGTGGGAGCTCAGGGTGTTGTGGACTCAGCACTCAGTAACTGATGAGTGAAAAATAAAACATCACTTTCTAATGCCTAATTAAGTCAACACAGCAGCAATGTTAAAAGGCTGATAGCAGCAGTGAATAAGTTTGCCTGGACAGTCTAAATTTCAGATTATTTTCCTGATCAAAACAGTCATGTTCCTGTATCACTGGCTGGAACAGGAGCACCACTTTAAAGAATTACAGACTGAACAGGTATTTACCAAAAAAAACCCAAACTGATCACATATCTTGTATCAGTTCCTGTAAATAGCAAAACATAATTTATTTATTTTTAAAGTAACTGCTGGGAAAGTGTAATTAACAGGATACAATTAGGCAACAACTAAGAAATACTCACAATCAATCCAGAGACTTCCTGTTTATGATTATTACCTATAAGAATGTATAAAAAGACTGGAGAAAGGAAGTTGGCACCTTATATAGCCAAAGAGCAAAATATGGGCCAATTTTAACAGAAATAAAAAAAGAAACTAGAGTAGAGTACACATTTTAAATACAGTCATGGCAGTTTTTGTTAAGGGTCCTTGGAAATAAACTATGCTTATTTATTTATAGAGCTTTCATCATTATATCTCTAGAAGCACTACAAAATGAGAAAACCCACTACTTTTAATTAAAGCTGAACTAAAATTCCCCTGCAATAACAGAAGGCAAAAGCAAACATAGATTGAAGAAAGAAAGAAAAAACATTTCAAGAACAACTGACCTGTAAAGAAAGACTTTGCTTGCACAGAAAGCTTGAATAAATTCTATAAAAGATGTTAAATTACAGAGCAATCTTTTTACTTTGATCTGATACAACAAAAAGCTCATGAATAACAAGATTTTGGGCTGAACCAAACACCTGGAAAGGGTTACAGTCTACCCTGAGCTACAGAGCTACCAATGGAACTAATATTAGAGCTGTACAGAAAAAAAATACATAAATACTAACATTTTAATTGGCTGATGCGCTGTCACAGTGGGGGAACTTGTGGATTCAGCCCTCTCAAACCCACTCTATTTACAGAGATGAAAAAGAACAGCATGCAAATAGTAAAAGGAGATAAAACACTTTAACAACCCTACAGAATTGCAGCAGCAATCTTCCAGCAGAAAGGGATTAATTAGCAACAAAGGCAAATGGCCATTTGCCTTAAATTATCAGTTCTTGCCATGATCATTATTTGCTTGGAAAATCTTTGTACCTCCAGAGCTATTATGTAAATACCTAAGATATGAGGGTGCTCTGTACAAAGCAACCCAAAGCTTGTGAAGGTGGTTGCAATCCCAGATGAAGCACATTTGTTCCGTGGAGCCATTTGTTGTGAGCACACCCCAATCTGACAAATACACTTGACAGGATACAAGAACATGCCAACAGACTGGCATAAATAAAATAATACAAAATAATAATGCTTATTTTCTTGATGAAAGAATCCTGTCAGTGCTCCTTTCCCAAACTCTTTCTTCTCCTTCTCGAGGGATGTGTTTCATGTTATGGGCACATCATGCTCAAATTTGAACTTTGGATTTAAACCCTTACTTCACTTGCATTTAAATTATGTAAATATCAAACCCAAGCCCTGTGAAATCCAAAACAGGGAGCATCTCATCCTGGTTCAGGACAAAACAGGCTTGTCTTCTTCCTGTTATACATTTTGAATGGGCTAGTGCAGGGCTGGGCTGGTACTGAAAGTGTTTTCCAGCAAACATTGCTACAGGGTGATCTGCAACTCGTCTCCTTCCTGCCTCCAATTTTCTCTTGTACAACTCCCACTTCTCAGTGTCACGAATATTCATTCACCAGGTAAATTGATGTCAAGTTACTATTCAGACAGTGCAAAACTTCCTTGCTTTTTTCCCTAGAGATGTGACTACCACAAGGTGGTTGGACATGGTAAGTCCAGTACCTAAGGCACATCTGCGAGCATAAAAACTTTATCCCAAGGGGAGGGATGTCAATATATTTGTGTCAGCTGTTCCTTCCTGACACGACTGGCTGGATAATCACCTGCTTTTTGAGCTCATTAGCCTGCAATTAATTGACAAATAGAGAGGGTGGCCGCAAGCAGCAGTGACTTTGCAGCAGCACCTCCCCGGCAGCTCCCCTCTATTTCTGCAGCATTAGCACAGCCAGGGTGGTTGTGCTTGTCCCACCTTTGAAGGGAAACAACTCCAGGATAGAAGTGAGTCTGTGGAAATTTCTTTCTACTGGGAGAGAACACTTTTTTTGCTGCTATTATAAAGTAACACAGATATAAAGGCAGCAAATCCCAATTTCAAAATGGAGTCTACAGAATAATGTGCGGAGAAACCCAGTTCCCTGCTGTGACCACAAACACAAGTGAGAGCTACTTAAAACCTTGCCTACAAACCATATCTTGGCAGAGTGCAGAGGTAGGTCTGGTCTACTTTTAAGATATGATAACATACTTCTGGCTATATAGGAATTACATTTCTTTACATGCCAGCAAAAGCTCTAGAAAAAACAGTTACACTGGCCAAAAAAAAAGAGACAAAGAGAAAAACAGACAGATCTTTTGGGGCAACCAACTTAAACTGGGTCCAAACAACGCTCCCAAGAAATATAACCTATCTTCTCTTTGAGTTTGTAAAGACAAAATCACCAGTTTCAAGTACAGAGTGGAAAAAAACTACACTCGTAACAGGACACACTAAAAGATGGTGTCACCTTCCCCAATTCCAGCATAGGCAACAAAAATCTCATGAGGGGGAAAAAAATCCAAAATTAAAAATACCCTCAATATAAGGTCAAAGAAATCATGCCAATCCAGAAATCAGCATGCAACAAGACCTTGATTACAGTCAGCAAATCAAGTAAAAAATGAACCACAAGGAAAATATCATAAATGAGGTGGGGATGGTGGGATATAAAATCCTAAAAAAAACCCAGACTTCCCTCAACATAAGGGAGGAGAAATCACAGCTCTTGTTCACTTTGCTTTAACAAAGTGCATAAAATCACATGCTTTCATACCTTGACAAAACTGCAAAAGAATGTAAGGAAAAAAGATTGCCATGCAAAATAGGGCATTTCAATTTCTCGAGTCAGAACTTCATGACACATTTTTTAAAAGGGGTCGCTTTTCCTCAAAATACCAAGTGGTTTTCCTCACTCCCTCCAAATGCAGGTTATTTTCTTTATAATTTTCACCTCTGCACTGTTGAACATAATGGGACAAATAACATGATGCACAAATAAGTCATAACGCTCCATGAAAGTTATTAGCAGTGAAATGCTGAATATGTGATAAATCTAGACCTGAAAGTGAAATATGCCTCCTAATTAAAAATCAATTATTAAAACCAGTAAAGAATGAAAAAGAAAAAAGGCTCACTCACCAAACTCATAATGAAATCCTGGAAACTTCAGAGTTATTTGAAAAGCAGAAAGAAACCTTCAACATCTATATTTAACTAAAGACTCTACTGTGGGTTTCTCGATTTTATGATTAAACAGCTCTGTGAAAAATTGTTTCTGGTATCTTTTGTGCTTTTATCTCTTCATTCCAAATGGTCATGAACATGAACAGACAGCATTTAAATGGAGAATGCAAGAACAAACCATTACTCTGGCTCTGGGAAATCAAAGTACACGGATGCCCTGATGTGGCCCTGAGGTGACACGGGGATGATAAGCCCAAAACCACCAGCCCCTGAACTTAGATCCGAGTGCAAGATGTTTACCCACAATGTTGTTCAGTGACAGATCTTTTCCAGTAGATGGTTTTAACACACACAAACTTAGACCAGGGTGTGCAAATAACTATTTCCAACTGATTTATGTTCAGTTCTGAAAAGATTTCAAATATAGAACAGCTCAGAAGCAGCTCAAAATCACAACACCTGTTGCACAGGCTTGGACAAGCAGAAATTTCCAGTTTTCTTTTTCTGTAAATCTCAGATATGTATTCATACCCCCAGCAGTGACAGAGAGATTAAATTAACGAGCATTACTGAAGAGATCTGAATCCCATTATTGGAGAAACTACACTGGTATTATGCATTATCATAAATATTCAGCATCTGCAATCAAAAGAAGGCTTTGGTGTTTACGTATATAATAAAGTTTTAATAATTCACTATCAATACTTCATGCAGAGTGCTGCCACCTCTTCCTTCTGGATAAAGGAAAAAATACATCCAGCATTTAAAATCCACAACCACCCAGCTGGGAATGAAAAAAATCCCTTGTACAGAGAAATTCCTGTGGCCAGTATTTTTCCAAGAGCCAGAGTCTCGGGGCTCCATCCACCTGTGGAAGGCGGGTGGGTGGCCAGGGCTGCCTCCATTTTGTGTCCCCCCCTTGGCAAGCTCCAGCCTGCAGACCCCACACACCCTCCCCCTTCTCCGGAACATGCACCCCGTGGTGCCTGCCACGTGGTGTAGCCAAAATCTGGAGTATTTTGGCTACAAAATTCTCAGAGGTTTTCTTCAGAAAACTTGGAAAACTCAAGTGAACGTTCCCTGAGGACCTGTCAGCCGCCCTACCCAAGGGCAGCTCGCAGCACCTCCGGAGCGCCAACACAGCCCCTCAGACATCAGCAGTCACACTCTAAGCCATAAAACTGTCACATTTGGTATTCTACCTGTGTCACAAGCAAGGGGGTACGTTGCTATCCTTCCACTGGAGATTAAAGGGCGGGGGATTGGGGTTCTGGGCACAGAGGCTGCAGCAGATCCCCCTGTGGCCGCTGCCAGCCCGGCACAGCCGGTTCCCTGAGGGACCCACCCCCGCCCAAACCCAGCCTGCCACAGCAGCTTCCCAAAGGTCCTGAGGGCACTTGTGTTAAAAAGGGTGCTAAAAGCCCCAAAGGATGTCGGGGAAGGAGGAAGGATAGAGAAGCAGAACCAGCCTCCTGGGCTGCCACCAGCTCAGCCCGCCCTGAGGGGTGGGAGACCAAAGAGTCCATGGCAGGAGGGGGATGGCAGGAGTTTCAATTGCCAATATATTCCTTTCAACACATAAAATACGGGGAAAATCCCAACTTGACCTACAGCACAGGTTCATCCCAACTGCTGCAGAGGGAGAGCCACATTATCAAGTGCCACGCTGAGCAGATATCAACTTCTGAAGTACGGTCCAGCTGAATAAATACCATGGAAAGTTAATAGCCAAATCCTTTCAGCAGCAGTGCTCTGGGAACCTGATTGGAATTTGAACATTTGCATTGATTTATAATTTTTTTTTCGATGTTACCAGCTGGGAGCAAGTGCTGGAGAGGAGGTACAGGAACAGCTCTGCAGAAACAGGAACAGCTAGGGAAGGATTACCTCCGAAAGGATTATCTTTTAAACAAAGAAAAATTTGGTACACTGCAAACAACTAACTCAAATCAAAAGAAACAGATTAATCCAACAGGATTAACAGGTAAGGCTGCCCTGTACGTTAATGTCCAGACACACAGCTGAGGAACATGAAGGGTTTTATTTAGCTGGTTTTATTAAGGGTGCAGTTCTGAAGCACCTTTTCAGGGTCCAAAATAAGGGCTGCCTGTTCAGATAAAACAAAAGCTTTGACAACTTATCCTGCAGCCTCCCAAGCAACAGAGATCTCCTGTCTTTTTACAGAGCCTTTTCCTTTACCCTTACATATGTAAGCTCTGATCATCCAGTCCTTTTAACTCCCGCCAGGAAGGAAGATTAGTTGCTGCCTGTACCGCTCCTGCGCTGTGAAATTTCCAGAACTGAGCACTTTTGCTTCCCTCTGGGAGGCAGGGGAAGTCACAGAAAACTGAGATCAAGCTCCACGTGGGTTTTTCTTTCCTGAATTGTTAACACTCACGTAAGCTTTTATGGCCATGGTACTACAGGATTACAAAAAGCAAAGTAGCATCGATCTACTAAAAAAAAACCCAGCATCCATGTATTTGGAAACAATACACTCTCTATGTGATGGAGCATCCCTGCCTTACTAGTAGACATGTTGGTAGTATCTCTTACCTGCACCAAAGATTTGTATTGAAATCTATTTGAGTATTCTGGCAAACTGAATGAGGTAAACAACAAGTTGAAAACATAATTTATTATTTTTTAAAGCACAAAGACAAAGCCTCATTCATTTACTAAAATTATTTTTACTGTGTTTTAATAATTTTTTTTAACATTGTTTATTTAACATATATTTGAGGTTCCCCTGGGGTAAATTTAAAAATCTTAGGTACTTAAAAACACAACATAAGGCAGTTCAGTTCCTTTCTGTTTCACTCAGCCTCACATACAGGTCAGCCCCCACTCTAATCCAGAGGTGAAACCAAATTCAGCAACAGCCACAAACCTTGCCTCCTGATGATATGAAAGATTATCAACTCTGGTGAGTTTTCCCATCTAATAATTTTACATTTTCAACTTTTGAACTTATCACCTATTATTTCATAACCAACTAATCACTACACCGGTCCAGCACATATTTCACAGTTATTTAAAAGTGAATTCAGCATTAAGCAAAGACTCACCTCCTCCACCTCCAAGAAGGCTGGAATTAGCTGTAAGAAAAACAAAAGGAGAATCATTAGCATTGAACTTCCAAAATATAGATAAAGCCAAACCAGAAGATGTTTCACATGAGATTTTCCATTGTTTCAGTAACTTCACTACTCTTCACTTACCCAAAAACATTTAATGCAAAACCAATCATTTATGTAAATTGCAATTGCAGTCTTTACCTCTGCAAAATCTTTGAGTGTAATAAATAAATAAAACAATAATACAACTACTAATGCTAATGCATTGAATAACATTATAACCTTGCATTTATAACTCTATAAACCATATCCCTTTGTGATCACCAAACGAACTAAAAAAAAAATTATTGTAGAGAAATTTAATAGACTTTTGGATGGAACTTTTGATTAGCTCTCCTTGTTTTCTATGCCATGGGACCCTTGAGGATGAGAAACCTGGCCCTGCTGATACAAAAGGGTGTTTTCCCATTGGTAGGCAATTAAGTTGGGATTTCCCTCAGCTTGCTTAATTGCCTCTGCACTGTAACCATCCAGCTACCCAGGCCAGAACTTGATAAATCACTTATGGAAAGCAATTTTCAGAGCGTGGTGATACAAGACGGTCCTTCAAATTAAGCTTGCACAACTGGAGCCAAGCCAAACATTCTCTTTTCACTGCCTAGGCAGAACCAGAAGGAAAGCCTAAGCTTCTAAACCTGCCCCTTTTGGATGTGTGGGACACAAATCCTCGTTGTTTCGGAATGTAGATAAAACACAGTATAAAAGCAAGAGCATAAGGGATGGACAGAGGTATTTCTTATTGCTTCCTGATGAGTGAAGGAGAAGTGATACCTCAAACCATGTCCTGCTCCAAGACAAGGGTAGATGGCAAGACACAGAATAAATTAGGTAATTTCCTATATGTTATCGTATCTGTTATTTTCCTCCGCTTCCTAAATAGAAGTCCTTAAACAGCAAATTCCCTGCTGTTGGGGTTTTTTTCCCCCTCACTTTCTTAATACTTTTATTTACATAAAACTGACAGTTATCTTTGTCTTCTTCATTTCTTTTTCAGATATTCTACAAAAACCCTTGACTCAACAGCCAATTTCAGCTCTACCATTTGCAGCCAGCTTTCCCTGACACTGCAGTAAAAATGTCTTCATCAGAAAGCTGGATTTTCCATCAAAGTACTACACCCAAGATCCATGATTTTTAAAAGCAACATATACCATTAATACTGTTATCTTACAGTGACTCAAAAAGTACCTCCTTATTACCCAAAATGCAATGTTCTTTACAGAAATAAATGAGCAGTTTCATATCCAGCATAGCTGACCATATCAAATCCAAGTAAACTGCAAGCCAAGTTAGTTATCCATCCTTGGACTAGTTGTTCCTACTCTCACTGAGGGAATGAATCAAGACCAGGATCTAGAGAGATGTTCTTGAGCATTTTTTCTGATCCAAGTCTGGTTCTAATACTCTGGAATATTAGATGGAGGAAAATGAGGGAAACTGTTTCAGAAACACAGTAATCTGGGGCCATTTCAAAAGAAATGCCTGTTTGGAGATACAGAAAGTTTGGAGCAACAGGCACAAAATGGAAAATTTTAAAAAAGAGCAACACAATCATCCATATGTGATGGACATCTCTTGGCTCTCCTCTTTAAGGTGCTAGCACGGAACAAATATTGCCATATATAAACTGCCTTTGACAAAGATATAATGGTAGTAGCGATAAATGTGTGCAGACATATTGTAAGAAGGCCACTGAATGTCGATCTTCCTGTATTTACCTGTTCTTGCCCTCACTGAAATTCACTATTAAACAAAGAAACAAATTAAAAACAGCCCCCTGTATTTTCACAGCAGTTTCCAAAGGCCTCCTGCAACAGGTAACATCACCTTCCCTGCAGTAACAAGTGTTTATCTGCGTCAGAAATCAGCACAGCTCTTATCAGAAGAAAATAAAAGTAACAAAGTGTCATCTACTGCCACGAGCCTGCTATTCCAGCTTATTTTTTGGCACTGTAGAATACACCTACAATTACCATTCTAATTCTTGCAGGAGTCAAATTCTAGGATTTCTGTAATTATGTTTCAGAGACTCGAGACACAAAGCTAAAACCTGTTATACCTCACTGTAACCAAAGTTTCCACTGCTAAAAAAAGTTTCTTGGGATACTCAGCCAACATCCCCACTGCAAACTCTCATTCAATGGCTTCTCAGAGAATTATGTTTCTCTCATTAAGTTCTCCTGACAATGTTCATCTTTCCAATATGTTCTAAAACTTCTTAATAACATATAATATAAGTCAGCACCACACACTTCTCTATAGAAACAGCAAAAACAGTTCAAACAGATTTTTGGCTGCAGTGAATCTACCTCAACTATTGAAATTGCAGTAATAATTCATAGGCACTTTTTTAAAAGAATTCTGCTTGCATAATAGAAAGGAAATCAAACCATTATCCTATGATTCCAGGAAAGAACAAATTATATTTACAATTTCATTTCTAGAAAACATGTCACTCAAAAAGCAAGAACTTTCAGATTTTTCAGCCTGTCCCTGAAAGGTTCAATAAAACCCACCTCTCTTTCCATCTTCAGGAAAGCCTTGCCATGACAGAAGTAACGTGTCACTTAGCACCTAATGAATACTGTCCCAGCCAGAGCTCCTCCAGGAGGTCAGCACAGCCTCATGGCTGCAATCACATCACATCATGTTGGAGCAAGCACGGCCTCTCCTCTCAGTCCCTCTGTGTTTATCCACAGCTGCGTTTTGTCCGTCAGTGCTCCCAAACAATCCAGCCTTGGAAAACACTTTGGAAGCAGCCCCTGCTGTAGAGGCTCAACCGTGGGTTGACTCTGAGCAATCTGGTCTAGTGGAAGGTGTCCCTGCCCACGGCAGGAGAGCTGGAACAAGATGTTCTTTAAGGTCCTTTCCAACCCAAACCATTCCATGATTCTAGGACTATAGCCTGTAAATCCATCCCGACTAACCCCTTGCCCTTATTTCCCTATTCCAGAGCTGCACAAGATTCTGAAGTTACAGGAGACTTGGAGTGAGAGGAAAACAGGAAGACTGAATTGCTACCAAGTTACCAAGGCAAAGAACAGTAAAAGAAAGTAAACAAGAGGAGCTCCAAAGAACTGTAGGGTAAAGCCTTCTTGCACCTCATTTCACTGCCTATGTCACCCTTCCAAACCGACCTGCCCAACCTTTCTAAAATTCTCTCCTTATGAACTGCAGTCCACAACAGATTCCTGGGCATTAACTCTGAAAATCCACTCACAATACAAACCTTGAACTATTATTTTACTATGCACAGAGTGGTCAGGCAGCCAGCAGACCATGGACTGCCTTGCCAGACTGAAACACGACACAAACTGATAAAACCCCAGCCAAAACAGCTCATTTGGACATGGACCACAAGAGGCAGCAGAGGTGAGAGCTCGCCTAATTTTAAATACTTTTGGCTGCACCAGTAACATAGGCTTCAATAAAAATTAATAATAATTAATTATTAAAAAAAAAGCCGTATTTGGTGAATTTTAAGTAGTAGCTTCAGGATGAGAAAAGTCACAGCCTCAGAGATGCTGCATGTCACCACTACTTCAAAAGGAATCCTGAATGCTGCATTTTGAGAGACAGATCTCACCCTTACAGCCTGCATCACTACAGGAAATGGAAATACATCTAGAAGTGGTAACTCAGTCCTGGAGTTCTGGGTTTCTCTTTAGTAGGGACATTAGAACCATTCACAGAAAAATTGTTTCTACAAAGTTCAGGGTCCTATCTAAGAAAAAATCCACTCTAAAAATATTCACTTTAAAAAAAACAACCGGTCTCTAATTACTGAGTATAACAATTTAGCCCTTAACTAGGTGTTGATGGCACCAGATTCTACAAGAAATTCAGTATTTCAAATGTCTTGACACCTCAGTGGATTAGATATTTATGTTTTTAGCAGCACCAGGGCAGCACTACTAAAGAAACCCTATGAACGCTGGTCTGTTGTACCCAGAGAACTCAACTCTTGCTTTAAGAAACAAAATTCCTTCCAAAACAATTCTGTTGGAAGTGAAGGGAAAAAAGAAGAGAAGAAAGAGAAAGAGAA